TTAAGCACCTAATTGAACATTTGTTGATGATTCAAAACTCATGTTTGACGCCGCCCCCGCGCTGCCCAGACAGGCTGCCGCGCCGACGCGCCGCGGAGCGCCGCCATGCCGCGGAGCGAGAGCAAGGACGACGAGTCGAAGGGCGGCGAGGCCAAGGGCGCCGACCCCGACTTCGAGCGCAACGAGCTGCTCATGCTCGTCGCCGTCGACGCGGCGACGCACCTCTTCGGCCCCGAGAGCGAGCTGAGCCGCTTCGTCGCCGCCAACGCGGCGGACTTCCTGGACGCGGCCGACGGCGACGCGACCGGCGCGGGCTCGCCCATCAAGGCCATGGACCGGTGGGCGCGCGTCCACGACGACTACAAGGACATCGTCGACGAGATCCTCACGGCGATCGTCGCGAAGAACGGCGGCACGCTGTGTGCAAATCAAATTTTCAACCCGACTTCAATGTGCGCGTATTCGAAGAGGTGGACACAAGCTCTTCGGCTCTGCTTCGAGAACTCGACGAGAGCGATCGATTCGTCCAAAAATCAGCCGAATCGACTTCGATTTGGCCGAGAGAGAGAGGTTTGAAGTTTTGCTGGACGCGTCCATTCCACTGGTTGATTTGCACACAGGTGGCACGACGGAGCTCTTCATGCGCGACGTGCGGGACGCGCTCGACGGCGGCGAAGGCTTCCTCTTCGAGGACGACAACTACGGCGACTTCGTCCGCGCGGTCCAGGCCCTCGACGACTACGGCGCGTTCCACCGCCTCATGATCGACGCCGCGCGGAAGAGCCAGGGGCGCCACAAGTAAGGGGTTTTTTGGGAGCGCGCGGCGCCGCGCGCGGACGCGCCGCGAGTCCGTGTTCTTTTTAGCACGCGATCCGCCGCCGCCAGCCGGGGCTGAAGCCCGCGCGGAGGGCCTCGCGCCGCGGCGCGCAGTGCGTCCGCATGTGCGCGCTGAGCTTCGTGTCCGGGTAGCGGTCCGCGGGCGTCGCGTTGGCCGCCGCGCGCCGCAGCACGGTTTCGACGGCGTCCGCCGTCGCGTCGACGTCGACGGGCGCCGTGGCCGAGTCCTGGAGCACGCGGCCGTAGTGGCTCCCGCGGAGGCCCGCGACGCAGTGGAACAGGGTCTTGAAGGCCATGGGCTCGGGCGCGATCTCGACGAGGCCCGCGTGTCCGCCCCGGAGGAAGGCCGCGTTCGCGAGGCCCGCGCCGTGCTGGCCGAGGACGACGGCCGCGCCGTCGACGGCGCACCACTGCGCGCAGTGGCTCATGGCCTGGAACTCGACGTGGACGACGTCGACGGCCGCGCCGAGCTCCGAGGCCCACGCGGCCGCGCGCGCGCGCAGGGCCGCCGCGACGTTGCCGAGGTTCGGCACCGTCCGCGGGCCGCCCTTGGAGAAGCGCTGGCCCTCGTGGCGCTCGAGGACGGCGACGACGAGCGCGTCGCCGGCCCGCCTCGCGCAGCAGCCGCAGGCGGCGACGGCGAGGCGCCGCGCGGCGTCGATCTGCGCCGCGAGGGTCGCCTTCGCCGCCGCGCCCAGGGACCCGCAGCCGTACAGGGACACGTCCATGCCGACCTGGAACGCGTGGACGCGCACGTCGCCGACGGGCAGGCCCGCGGCCGCCAGCGCCGCGGCGATCGCGCTGTCGTTGCGGCCCTGCGCGAGGTGGAGCACGCGCGGCGGCGCCGCGCGGCAGAGGTGCGGCGCGAGCACGCGTTCCAGCAGGTAGGGCGTCCAGAGCTCGCGCGGCCGGATGTCCGCGTCGTTGACGACGACCGCGTCGCCGCGGCCCGGCGCCGTCGCCGCGAACCAGTGGAGCAGGGGCACGAGCCGCCCGTAAAAGTAGTGGTAGTAGTTGTCGTGGCCGCCCCAGCCGGCCTTGCTCGCCATCACGTGCACGGCGCCCGTCGCCGCCGGCGGCGCGCTGCAGTTGCGCGGCGCGGGGCAGCGACCGGACGCGTCGTCGGCGACGGGCCGCGGCGGCGGGCCGTGGCGCGCGAGCGCGAGCGGCAGCCACCACCAACGGGGCGGCATCATCATCGCAGAGCCATCTCGTGTGGGGCAAAGCAGTCGACGTTGCCGAGCGCGCTATGGCCCGGCCCGACGAAGTCATGTTTTTTCTTCGGGAGAGTGCGGCGGACGCGACGCTGCGCACTGCGCGGGCCTCCGCGGCCCAGGACGCCCTCGAGCTCGATGCCGACGAGCGCCGCCGCGCCGCAGAGGACGCCGCCGACGAGCGCCGCCGGCGCGAAATGGGGCTCCAGGGCGTCCTGCCCGTCGAGCGCCGCCGCGCCGCGCCGGGCGTGGACCTACAGGCCTTCGGCCTCATCTCCGTGGCGCGCATCTTCGACGACGTCGCGGCCGCGAACGCGCCGCCGCGCCTCCCGCCCTTCGCGACGGTCGCCGCGATGC